TGTGCTGCTCCCTCTCGCGGTCCTGCTGCCCGTCCTCGAGCCCGCGCTCGCCCTCTCTGCCGGCGAGCCTCTCCCGGTCCTCGCCACCGCCCTCTCCGCTTGCTACGTCACCGTGCTCGTCGCCGGCGCGCGGCTTCGCGCCGCGCGGACGGTATGACACGTCCAGGACACGCCCAGGACACGCCCACGGCACGTCCACTAGGCGCGTTGCTCGTGCCGCGCGTGCGCTCCTTCCAGCGCGTGCGCGTGCGGTTGCGTGGCGCCGACTCGTTCCCGAATGCTTTCTATTGCGCCCCCGTCGCGGCGGCCATCGCAGCGCGCTGCGAGGCCGCCGTCGCCGCGGTGCGCACCTATTCTCGGCGGGCAGCCGCGGCGCCCGTCCTCCTCAAGTTTGGCGCCGAGTGCTCCATCTGCATGGGGCCCATCGAGCCGGGGCGGAGGGTGCGCGCGCGCGAGTGAGAGAGACGCCCGCCAACCGCCATCTCTTCCGCGAGGGATCCCTCCTTGCTCTCGCCCCGCCCCCGACGCCGCACCCATCCAGCCCGCGAGCCCCCAACCCCCGTGATGCAGGCGCGCGAGCTGCACGCTTGCGGCCACTCTTTCCACGAGGAGTGCATACTGCCCTGGCTGCTCATGTCGGCCACGCCGCGCTGCCCAAACTGCAGAGAGGTGGCCGACCTCGACGGCTTCGAGGAGGCCCTTGCCGCGGCCGGCGCGCCGCCGGTGGCGCGCCGCCCAGTACGTCCCCAGCCGGTGCGGCCATATGAGGTTGGGGAAACGGAGCAGTGGGAGGCGCCCGTCTAATGCTTCAGTATCTCTTGTTTGTTCGCAGTTCCGAGTTCGGACATCGGAGGCCCCGGGCCTCGCGGCCCCGCGCGGCGACCGCGTTAGCTCGGCCCGGTCGAAACGTTGCTAAAAACTGTACTTTTTGTGAGATAAACTACACTACACCGGGCGGAGGCGTTTCGACGCTCGCAGCCCAGCACGAGCAACTCAGCGCCCTCAACAGGCGGCAGTCCCACTCGCAGCGGGACGGCTCCTCGCCCATCCCCGCTCCTCCGCACGCCACAAAATCAAAGATGTCGGTGTGAGGCAAAGGCAGCCCGCTCT